AGGGCTGGAGCCTGCTGTTCATGCCCACCCTGGAAATGCAGCAGAAGGAGCTGTGTCTCTTCCATCCCCCAGCAGCTTCAGCCCAAGGGTAAAGCACTGACCCGGGAGCTACCACACGTGTCCCCACTTGGTGCTAGCCGTGCAGTGCCACAGGCTTTTGTTAACCTGGGCAATGTTTGGGAGGCTGAAATGGGAGTGAATCTCTGACCTTTTGGCACCTGTGAAAGTAAAACTGGCTCAGAGTGTTTTGGGGGCTACCAGCAAGCTGAGGGAGAGCTGGTGTGATGGGAAAGCCTGAGCTCCCGGGAGCGTTTCAAAGCCAGGCCATTCAGTGCCAGGCTGTGGTGGGATTGTGGTGTTTCGGAAAGAGGGAGCAATGGGGAAAGCTGTCCCAAAGCCATGCAGTCTGGGGGTCGGGAGGCTGGCATAGATCACTCTGAATGCAGCAGGGCTCAACTGCATGGCGCTGAGCCAAGCCTGACCTAACCAGCTTATTTCCCTGCTTTCAGTAATGCCCGTACCAAACGCACCAAGGCCTGAAGGTCACAGCCACATGAGCAAAGGTCTGGGGATTAGCTGCAGGCAGAGCACAGCTCCTCCCGGGTGTGCCGTCGCAGCCATGAGCTGCGTCCCACCAGCCTGCCCATGGTTCCCCTGTGTGCGGGAGCCAGCGTGGCATCGGCACCTCGGATGGGTGCCAGAGAAATAGAGAGCTGGCTGGTAGCAGCACCTCCTGTACCCGGCACTTCTCCGAGGGGAACATAAGTAAATGTTTGCTCATCCCACATTGGCCCCAATTTTCCTTCTGGGTTTTGGTAGCACTGGCCAGTGGCTTGCTTTAATGCATGTTTCCCCTGCAACAGTGTCTAGCTCTGGTTTTGGAATAAAGCCCAGCAGATTTGCAAACTTCTGCAAGGCACCTGGTTTGGATGTGCCCACACCTCTGTGAGCCACAGAGACTGTGCTCAGCTGAGCACACAGGGTCCCTCCTGGGGCAAAGGGTCACAACTGTCCCTACTGCAGCAGAAGTTACTGACCTAGCGTGGTGCACAAACACCTCTGTCTTAGAGCTGGGAGACAAGTTCCAGAAGCCTAATACTGGATCAGGGCATCACAACTGAATAGTGGTGATGTACCTCTAGGCGCTGATGTCATCAGACATGAAAGCAAAATGACATCTAACAGCATCCTCAGCACAACCATCTCTAGCTGTCTCCATATGGCTCTCTGACTCTGAGTCCTTAAAGCCTTGTTTCCTTTCGGAGCTGTTGTGGGTGCTCTCCCGGGGGATTTGGAGGAGAGGGAGATGCATATGGGTGCGGTGGGACCTGGCCTGGCTCCTCCCTGTCCCGGGAGGGAGCTGGCAGCAGTTCACAGGCCAGGAAACCCTTGGGGCTCGCTCTGCGCCACATCTGTGGGAGACAGCTCGCAGGCTGCTGGACGTGCTTGGAGCAAGCCTGATGCTTCTCCCTAAAAGCCAAACTTTTCCTGTCCTAATGCAATGCTCTGATCCCCTTCCCGCTGTCCTGAGAGCCCCGGCAGCCCCTGATGCTGAGCCCATCAGGTGGAATTACTTAATCTGGCCCTGATGGGTGACATCACACTCGGGAGCGGGTCCCTTCCCTCTAATCCCTTGCTGCCATCAGCTGCCTTAGCACACGCAGGGCAAAACAAGCAACACGTGAGCAGATGGTGCCTTCTCCATCATCCCGCCACCGCTTCAGCAGCCCTGAATAAAACTGCCCTGTTACCTTTTTCCCGTGAGCCGTCCCCATGGTCCAACGTGTCGGCTGTGCCCTGCCTGTGCGGGACCGGCCGGATCGCTTCCCCGGTTACACCCGGGGGGATGTGTAGCCGTGCAGCTCCCAGCTCCTCGGCGGCCGCTGCGGGGAGACGTGGGTGAAATCCAGCCTGTCTGCAGCGGGGTCGGGCGGGAAATCTTGCTTTTCCTCCCTTCTCCCAGCACGTGGAGAACTCATTTTCTTCGTGCACCTAACAGCTGGCTCGCGCCCAGGCTCTGCCCCGGCACAAAGGCAGCTTTCATGCTGCGGATGCCCGGTTTCTAAGCTGGGATCCGCGTTTTGAGAGGCTGTGGAAGATTACAGTAATTGCACTTGACAGGGCAAGATGTCACAGGACACGGATTCGCCCGGCTGCGGGGCCCCGGCACCCATCGGTCCTCGCCTGTGGCATCCTTCCTAGCTGCTGCTTTGGTGCTTTGCCAAAATAAATCTGTACCCAAAAGTAAGTCAGGATTACTGCTCTGCCTCCTGTCTGTATCCTGGCCCTTGGCTCCTGTTGCAGCACCGGATTTTGCAAACTTTGCTCCTGAGAATGCCCCGGGCTGCCTGTTTGCTGCTGGAGCCCACCGTGGCCCCCGGGTGAGGCCAGGTTACCTGGAGCCGTGTCCTGGGGGGCTGGGCAGGTCAGGGCTTGTGTTTGGCGAAGTCTCTGGGGGATGCAGCACAGTGAAAACCAGCCAGGTAGGTGCCTGTCTCTGCAGGAATACAGCTTTTAAAACACCAAGGCACTATAAAAAACTCATTTGGATATCGCTGTCCCTGCACCCGCTGCCCTTTCCAGCTCTTTTTAAAAAATGAGCAAGTTAAATTTGGTTCCTGAAGCCATATTTCTACCCCCAACACCCAGACTTCTGGACTTTTGAAAAGCTCCAATTTATTTATCAGGACGCAGTAACTTTGGCAGGAATGTCTCTTCAACACACTGACTGCTGGTTAAGGTCCCTGCACAGGATTTGCACTTTCAGCTCTCCCTATTTATTGAAAATAGTGGTGTACCTTAGTAACCACTCAGCGATAGATTTAAAGCTGGTTTTAACGGTCTGTAGCATGCTGAAACATAAATGTCCTTTGTTTTGGCTTTAAACCAGATGTCTAATGTGCATAGCAAAAGGCTAGGAAGACTTTCCTGTGGCTGAGAAACGGGCCGGTTGTTTTCTGGGCTGCAGCTGATGCTGCGCGCTGGTTTACCCCATGCAGCCGCCTGTACAGCTCTTAGGCTGTTTTCAGTTTGGCTTACGAGCGACTCCAGATCCTTTGAGGGGGCTTAAAATAGTTGGCATATTTATGCTGGCAGTGCGGCAGGGCTGTGCGATGTGAGGGCTGTTGTGTCTGTTAAGTTGTGTTATTTCTCGCTGCTGCCATAGGTAGGGATGATTCAGCGCTTGGGATTAACTGCTGCTGCTGCAGCGGGTTTGGGGATCGATTTATGGCAGAGGCTTCCCTCGGTGCGGTCAGGTGCACGTTAAGAGCGCAGGAGGGTAAGCTGGGATAAAATGCTACAGCTACTGGGGAATTCCTCGGTAGTGGCTGTTTGGGGGTTTTATTTCAGTTTTGCCTTTGGGAGTTCTTACAGGTGTTATACAATTTATTTTGGGATTTTTCCTTCATTAGGGAAAACCAGTTGCCTCGCGGGTTTTAGGTGGTGGTGCTGGGTTTTGGATCCAGGGTTTCATCCCTAAGGTGGCCAGCGCAGGACAGGCTGTGTCTTTTCCTGGCCTTATCCTGCCAATGTTCCTCACTTCTGCTCCCCTGGGGTGACCTGGGGGCTCAGATAATCGATGTGAACCCCCTGTCAGAAGCTGTGCTGGGGCAAACCCTGCTGTTAGAGGCAGACAGGCTGTGCAGGACAGCCTGCTACCCTGCACGGCTCCAAGCCCTCCAGCAGCAATGCTCCACCCTCACGTTCTGCAAAACTCCTGGTCTGCTTTAAAGAATGGCGAAACCCAGATACAATCATAGGAAATTAAAGTCTGTATATGATGCAAATTTGTCCCTGTCCGTGATAACAGATAAGCCTGGGCCATCACCCATGAAGCTTATCTGATCTCAGCAATGCTTGCACTCGGGGAGGTTTTGGGTACAGACGGTGCATCGGTGAATGCACCCAGACACGAGCCGGGGGTAGATACTCCCCCAGGACCTCCCCGGTGTTGGGCAGCAGCATGGGAATCACCCTGGACGGAGGTCTGCGGGGCTTTGCTGGCCTTTGGGCAGGGATCTCTCCTCTCCCGGCGGTGTCGGTTGGCCTCAGGTTGGGGTGCAGCTCCCAGAGCAAAGCGGGTGTGTGGGTGCCTGCAGCGGGGTGCCAGCTCAGGTGTGTTGAATCTCTCCAGACTGATGCTGGCTCTGGCTCTCCTGGTAAAAGGCTCCCACCTATTGGTTATGCTGCAAAACTTCAGCTGCCTGAGAGACTTGCACATCCCTCCCTCCCTCCCTCCCTCTTTGAGGGCAAAGTTGGGTTGGGACATCCCTGGCATTATCCTGACCTTTGATGGGGATGTGCCATGGAGGCTTTAGCTTGGATTTAAACCAGGGAATATGCAAATGGGTGGGGGAAATGTTTTGGTCTGCAAATATTAACCTACATTACTGCCAGCCACCCCTGTGGCCTTCTGGCCTTGTTGGGGCTGTAGGAGACAGTGGAGGGTTGGCAGGAGCTCCAGGGGGAAACCACCAAGGCCTGAGCATCCCCAGGGATGACTTTGCCCTGTGCTGTGTGGGGAGGGGGAGCACTCATGTGCAGTGCCGTGGGATGGGTGATGGTCATGCCTGGCGGGTGGCAGAGGACGTGGCGTCTGTGCCTGCAGGGAAAAGCATGGATTATGCTTGAAAATGGAAGTGAGGAGGCAGTGTTTTATAATTAGATACCTTATTTAAGAAATCTGAAAAACCTTCTAAAAAGCTTTTGGTTTAAAGACAGAAAAATAAAATACCCCAAATTGACCCATAGATGAGAACAACACGGCTGAAACCTGGCCAGGCATTTGCTCAGGCTCTACAGCACTTGTACAGCTCTTCTCCGAGCCCTGTACAGCTCCTGCTGTGAAACGGCCTGTCCCTGGGAGCGGGCAGCCACTGCTGGGCTGCGTGACCGGGCGGTGGGGGGCTGGGGTTGGTGTGGTGGGGCTGGTGTCCCTGTGATGGGGCTGGTGTCCCCGCAAGACTGGTCTTGCCTCTGTAGCAGGCTGGGGCTTGATGCTAATCCATCTTCCTGGGGGCACAACCCTCCAGCTCCAGCATCTCAGGCCAGCCATCGTATTTATTAGTCTCCCTATCATTTTTGATGTGCTGCAGGAAAAAAAAAGAGAGAGAAAGAAATGAATGAGGAGGTTGGTGGCACAGTGCAAGTTTGCAGCATGGCAAAACTTGCAGCTTGGCTTGAGGTGGGGGATAACACCGCTGGCCCACATCTTCTGCAGAAAGGTGAGTGAGATGTGGCTCAGGAGGTGTGAAGAGGATGGGAGCCCCTGGAGCTGGTGGCGGGGAAGGGCCACGTACCTCTTCAAAGGGGCTCTTGCTCTTCAGCCCTTTCGCTCCCAAGAAGACCCAGTTGTCCCGAAAGCCCAGGTTGCTCACGTGGCTGCTGCCCAGCTCCACAAACTGTGCCCGTACTTTGTCATTCATCCTGAAAGAGGGTAAGAAGGTGTTAGTGTGGTGCCAGGTGGGTCTCCCCTCCTGTCCCCTCTCAGCACCTCCAGCTCCCCACAGCTGTGGGCTTTTGGGGAGCCAGGTATTGCTCCAGGGGCCAAACTCACTTTGTAGCAGGGTCATCATAGCTGGCCACCAGCACAATGGTGCCGCGCTTGATCTCTTGGAGGAAGGTATCCAGTTTGTTAATGTCTGGGAGAGAAGAGAATTAGGAAAAGAAAAAGGGATTGAGCAGGAACTGCTGCGTAGCAGATGGGAGAGTCTCCTCTGGGTCGGTGGGAAGTAACCTGGCTGTGCTGGTGCTGGCCAGGATTTGGGGTCATGGGCCTGGGGAAGGACGGGCTCCCAGATGCTGCGTTCCCCATCTTGTGTTCCCACCTGGGCTAGCGCTTTCCTCCTGCCAGCAGAACAACTGCAGGGGAGAATTTGTGTCTAAAATTTGCTTACTAACTGTGAAATCTTGTTACTTGAATTTACTTCCCAACACCAGAAACGAGCTTGTTCAGCTGCAGAGCTGCCCGCCCTGCGATCCTGCCTTTGGTGGTGTTTCAGGAATTATTCCTCATCCCGCATCAGTGGGATGCTCGAGTCCAACGCCCCATCTAGTGGCACAGGAGCCGACTGCTGTCTCCTTCCCGGTGCCTCTCCCACCTTGTGTCTCACTCACAAACTCAGCCTGAAATCTCATGATATTGGTGTTTCTCCTTAAAACTCCAGAGTTACTAAGAATAGGCTGCAAAACCAAAAAGCAGAAAGGGTGATGGATGCCTGAAAAGGCTCAAACAGCAAAGCATAAATCAAAAGCACCGTAGGGGTGGTTTTAACGTGTGATTCTTGAGGAGTCCTGCCAAAACTCTGGAGGGTTTTTGTTACAGCTTTGCAACAACGGTGGGATTTACAGCATCCTGCAAGTGAGCGCCAGCTGGGCTGTGAGTGGGTGCTGCCCCAGCTCAGGGCGGCATCTTGCTGTTAGGAAGATGATTTGAAGCTGGAAGGCACAGGGATGTGGTCTTTGCTGCCACCAGGTTCTGTTCCATGTGCCCAGCCTTGCTGGGGGCCACATCTTGCCTGCCATGCCCTGATCTCCTCATTTATCCTCCTCTGAAGGACAGGGAAACGAGTGCTGCTCAGCCACCACCAGCATTCAAAAACTGAGTTGAAAATTGCAAAATCTTAGGATTAGTGTAACTACCTGATGTCAGAAAGTAGCCTCTCTCAGGTCCCACATGCCCTCATTTATTCAGTTTAGTGGAATTATGCTTTTCAGGCTGTTATGTGCAGGTAAAAGGAGTAAGAAGCCAACCTCGGATGCAGATGCGTTAGGAGGACTCCAGGCTCAATGGCCTCAGGGAAAGCTGAGATTTTGCCACACAAGCTGGCAGTCCTGGTCAAAGTCCACTAGACTTTATCATTAAGTACACGACAGAGGAGCAGCCCAAACAGCCGGCAGCCAGCAGTGCTGGTGTGAGCCCTGGCTGGAAGCCACCAAGCAGGAAAGCGACCACGCTTACCTCCGGAGTACATGTCGAATGTGTCAGCTTTCAGGAGCTGCCCGCTTGTTCCTAAGAGGTTAAAATTCAAAACAGAGCACAGTGAATTTGCATTAGGGTGGCTGTAGGCTTTGCCTGGTCACCAGCCTGGGGTTCCTGCTGCAAAATGCTTTGCTTTTCCCTCCGTGTGTCGTATTTGCTGCAACGGCCAATGTGTTGGTTGGTGTTGTTCATGGAGCCATCATGCACGAACCAAGTGAGTTTGTTCCCATCTTCCTGGCAGTGCTTGCAACCATAACTGTGGCTGTGCACCCCACGCAACACCGGACTGCTTTTGGCTCAGCTACGGTGCCTGGGGTGGGGTCCCTGGTGGCCTGTTCCCTCCAGGGGGGGCAGGGAGGGACCCCAGCTGTGGGGACAGGGGGGTTAGTGCCCACCCGACTCACCATTCACCAGCGCGATGTTCAGGCCTCTGCCAATGTTGTTTTTCACGCTGCTCATGAGGCTGGAAAAGAAAGCAGAGAGCACCGGGATGCCCTGGAGATGCTGGTGCCAGTGAAACTGTGATGGGGCAAAGCGGGTGCAGACAGCAAAATATCCCCAGAAGCGGCAGCAAAGAAAACTATTTCCAAGCTTTTTTAACCACAAATGCACTGTGATGGCCATGGACGTGCTCAGCAGAGGCCACACTGGCCTTGTTCAAGCCCAGGTGAACCACGGCTGCCCCATCCCTGCTGCGTGCTGCTTACACCACGTTGTCGAAGCAGATGGAGGGTCCCACCACGTTTGCGGCGCCGCTGATGATCTTGAAGGCAAAATAGTTCTGGGGGCAGCTCTTCTGGTTCCCACACTTGTGCCGGGGCAGCTGCTCACCTGTGAGGGAGGAGCAGAGCTGGAAGCCATGGCGTTGGCCCCACGGGGGGACACCGGCCGTGTCCCTGCAGGGCTGAGCAGGGCTGGCACTGGGCCACAGTCGCCCACTAAGGGGGCTACACCTGGACCAATTTCTTGCACGAAAGAGGCTTGTCCTGCGGCTGGGACCAGGTTCTTGTTTGAGGTTTACGGTGCGGAGGCTTGAGGTGGGGTGGGACACGGTGGCCAGGGCGCTGGGTGCCGCTCTGGGTGGGAGCAGCGGGACGGCGCGGCTGATGCCGTGGGGATTGCAGTGGGGTGTGTGCCGGGGAGTGTTCGGAGCTGGCGCTCGTTCAAGGCCAGAGCCTTAGGGCTTTTCTGCTCAGAGCTTCCCCATTCTTGGCCAGGGTAGGGACTGGTGCCACACTGTCCCAACGGGGCCAGCAACCCGCTGTAGCCTGTGGCCCGGGGGTGTTTCTGCTGGGGCAGGGGGATCACATGGAGGTTTGTGTGCTTGCAGAGCCCGCCAAAGACACTGCTGCTGTGTGTAATAACGAAACTCCCCTGCGTTTGGGAGGGTGGGATTTTTGCCTTGGGAAAGGGGCTCTTGAGGGCAGCTAGCGCGCTTCCACCGTCACCCTCCGCCCTGGCGTGGTATTGTGTGATGAAGATGGAATCGAGAGCGGTACTCACTGCTGAGCTTGTTGGTGGCACCTGTGGGTACGAAGCAGGAGGGTTAGACACCCTGGAGAGCTGCTGGCTCTTTCCCGAGCTAGGAGCAGCTGTTCAGGCACCGGCTCGCCAAAATCTCTCCCCGTGGCTGCAAGCACCCTGGAGCCATATGCCCCGGGGCAGCTTCCCATCACGCTGTCCCCTCCCTGCCCTGATGGTCAGAGCTGGTGGCTATAGCCTTGGCCAGGGACTGCAAGTGCAAACGTTTGTGGCAGCTATACGCAGCTCTGGGGTCTGGCTAGCAATGGGGCTGCCCGCACCCTCCCTTCAGACCTGTCTGGACCCCCACCAGCACCTCACCGAGCCAGCTCCGCAGGCTGATGACTTTCCATCTGTGATCAAAGTACGTCTGCACGATGAACCATGTGCCCAGCAGTGTGATGAGCAGTGCCACGTACCGGATCACGCCTGCGAGGGGTGGGAGGGAAGCCAAGTGAGACCAGCAGCAGCAGCGTGGGCTGGGGACTAGGTCATCCCTCTGGCTTCTTGGGGACTTGGTCTGTGTATCGCAGGGTTACCAGGCACAGCCAGTGCTTGCGTGGAGTGGGAAGGCAGCTAACACTCCTTTCTTCATCCTCTAAAAGGACTCTGATCTCTTAATTAATATCTCTAGAGCATGTGGTGATGCTCAGACAGGCATTACCCTTCTACTGGGAGGCACTATTCATATTTCTGTCTGCATTAAAGTGAAGCTGATAATTAGTCAGAAAGTTATGTAAATCCAAATATTTCTTACGTTCCCAGCGCTGGGAAGGCTGTTATCCCCCAATTAGTCACTAGCTACAGCCGAGCAGCTGCTAATACAAATGTGATTGGCATTTGGCTTTAAGGCAGCGCTCATCGGAGCAAAACGTTCCAGTCCTGCATGGAAAGAATGGAAGAATATACTTATATTGCGGCTGAATGGCTCTTATGGAACTAGGAACGTCTCAATAGCCATCTCTTCTCAACCACAGAGGGTTTCACTGGGAAAAATACAACAGACGTAAATCTACACAAATCTTTTAAAAACCTGATGCTTATACAAAGGCTCTTTCCCATGGCCCTGGCAGGGGAAGGTCAGGGTAGCTGGGCTTGGAAGGGGTCATGTAAACGAGGAGGAGGCATAAAGAACTGTAGAAAAATGGGCAAAGGAAATCTCTGTCTCTCTCCTTACCTGTCACCCGCATGATGATGATGAGAGAGAGCACAATCAAGGGGGTGGCAAACGCTCACGAATCACCCTGCGGACAAAGAAAGAAATACCATAAAGCATACCTGTAACTCACAAAAGCCAGGCAGATATTAGATTAAAAAATAATTGCTATGTTTAGGCATATTTGCAATAACTAAGAAGTCACCAAAGATGTACAAATTGCTATCAGGCACACGTGCTTGGTCTCACCCTGATGTCGAGCTCCTGGCTCCCGTACGGTGGAGCAGGCTGCACTGATTGAGCTTGTTTAATTTTTTAAGCCTCTGACCTCTTCACTGTGACTGTCTGCTGCCCTGTGTGCTCCTGTTTCACGTCCTTTTCTCAGTAATGGATCACGCTTTTCTATTGTGATGAGCTCAAGGAGCACATTTTCAATCATAGCTTTGCTGCATTTCCTTCTGCTTTCCTTCTGGGATTATGCAAAGCCAGGTTTCAAATATTAGGGGCTGCAAAATGCTGAGGACAAGCTGCGATTTGGCCTTGCCCCATCAGAGAAATCTGTGGGAACAAGCTTGTCCTCCTGAAAACCAGAAAGAGAAGGGAAGAAGGACAGCGCTGCTGATCTGGACAGAGCAGCCAGGTTTGGGGACACTCGACTTAAGAACAGAAATGTTTCCAGTTGTCCAAATCCTGCAGCATCTTCACCCATGTGAACGAGGAGTGGTTGTAATTTAGAGAGTGAACTATTTCCTACCCGAGCGAGTCCATCTGCCTCCCTCCCTCCTGCTGCCAGCCCCGGCGGAAGGGACAGCCCCATGCACCGGGCTCGTGGGGGCTGGGGACCCTCTCCTACCTTTGAAATTCAGGGATGCAGCCTGGTGAAGGTCCGGCCTGGAAACCACCCCAGAGTCCTAAGGCAAATTGTCACCTGGGAGATGTGTGCTCAGAGTTAAAGAGCCTAATGTTAATTAAAGCAGCCCTTTAGTGAGGCTTGGCATAGAAGATCTGTAAAACAGCTATGCTGAGGGTTCCTTTTCCTGTTTGAAAGGTAAATAAAGAGCAACGGGGTTGTAGCAGGGCTGGGCAGAAAGTTGATTTCAGGCTGCTGCGTCACAAGGAAGGAGAGAAGAGCTTTGTCTCCTGCCCAGCCCTGCTCCGGGTCCCCTCCCAGGGCTTGAGATCAGGGAAAGTGCCCATGGGCACGTGATTGACCATGGCCGTGGTGCAGCGTCCCCCCCTTGGCACTCTTCGCGGGATGTACCCGGCATCTTCCCCTCGACACTGTGGTGGGATGCACCCGGCATCCCCCCTCAGCGCCCTGGTGGGATGCTCCCCCTTTGCTTCCTCTGCACCCTGGGGCAGGTGGCAGCAGCACTGTGAGGGGCTTTTAGACAGCCTTAAAACCAAGGAGAAAGCCGATCTGCACTGCAGGAGGCAAGCTGCTGCTTTCCTGCTTGGCCTGTGACTCCAGAGGCAGTTTGCAGCCGGCCAGGGTGGCCGATGCCCGGCTGGAGGAGCAGCCCCGCAGTGACGTTTCAGCTGTCCAAAGCTGGAGCCCGGCACTGCTGCCCACGAGGCCCCTCCATTGCGCCCCGTCTGCTGTGAGGCCATGGCAAGGAGGAGCTGCCGAAGCCGCTCCAGTGGGAGCTAGCGGCTTCCTGTGGGAGAGTGGCCTCACGGCTTATCTGCATTTTAAAGGAAGCCTTGGAAGGTATTTGTGTACCCTGGTGTATCGTGGCAGTGTGGTTTTGATAGGGTATCAGCTAAGCACGCTTGCTTCCCCGCAGCATCTCACCTCTCCTCTCTGCAGCTATTCCTCCCAGGGGTGAGTGGCCGTGGGCAGGAATCTGTCTCTGCAGGAGGTGGCATGGGGGGTCCGCAGTGCCCGCAGCCCCTCCCCGTGCCATCTTGTCCTGGCCTGACCCAGCTCGTATCTCTGAAATGGGTTTTAAACTCGTGTCTGGCACGAACAAGCCTGTTTCACTGAGCTGGTGGAAGAGCCACAGACCTGAAAATGGACAGTTTAAAGGTTTTGGAGGACAAATGCTGCCCGTGGCTGGATCTGGTGGCACAGCGCCAGGCTGCTGCCTTTTGCTCCTTTCTGCATGAAATTTTGCTTTTTAAATGGAGGGAGCCTCTCCCACACCTGGCTCCTAAGCCCAGTGCCTGATCTGGTGATGGGTGTGATGGGGCAGAAGAGTAATCCTTAAAATTCCCCTTGGCAAATCTTCAAAATTGGTATCGGTTTGCTTTTTGGAGCCTGTTGAGCTTCCCTCCAAATGCCATGAGTGGAGCCTGGAGGTGGTGAGGGTTTGGACCTGCACCACGATTCGGACACAGCAAGTGGAGCAAAACTCCCCTGGGTTTGGAAAACATCCCCGGCTGGTCCCTGCCGATGCAGGGGACACTGGCCTCACCGGGGCCTGTCGCACAGTGCTCTCCTTGGCCGAATTTGTGTTTTTTCTATGCACATATTGATTTTGCTGCAGAGGGAGAGAAATGGAAATATAAACCGATAACCCCTACCGCTTTAGGGAAGTCATTTATTTATTTGGACTATTTATCTTCACCTTAATACCAGGTAAAATTTATTGGGTGAACTCCCTGGGTGGTGAAATTCCTGGAACATGATTGCATTACAAAGGGGTAGCCCTGTCCTGGGATTTCTATTATATTATCTTTTAATTGTTTGAATTGATTTTTTTTGTTGTTGTTGTTGCCAAGATTGTGCCAGAAAAAAAGACAGCTGTACTCTGGCATCTGCCAGAGCGCCGCTTGCAGGAGAGGGAGAAAGGAAGGAGCTGTGGTGGAGTTATTTGTCTAATAAACCTGAAACTTATTTGCTTAAAAAACATTCCAGGAACAAAAAGGTTCTCGGACAAATATTGCTAAAGAAGTCCGTGGCGTTGTAAGGCAAAGGCTCCACCCCAAGCCTGCTCAGGGCTGAAGTGCCGCTTGGCAGCGCTGAGTTCTTGCTGCCAAGAATAAACCTGGGCAGATCCTTGCCCTCGCAGGGAGGTTTTCCAGGATGTGGCAAGTGAATGTTCCCGTCTTCTCCCAGGACCAGAGGAAAATTTCACTTCTTTTCCCCGGAAACTTCTGGCATTGTTGGTTTTGGGGTTCTCTTGCTGCTTTTGAGCCCCACATGTCCCTGTCCCAGCAGGTCCCTGACCATGAACGAGACATCATTTTGGTGTGTGGTGGGGATGTGGCTCCAAAGAAGGTGGCTGCCAGATGTCACCCGTGCCCACACCTACTGAGTCACCGCTCCAAAAGTCAGGGTTTTCCTGCAAAGCTAAACGCGGGGGCACAGAAAGGGCCTGGTGTGGAGTGGGTGCACATCCACCATGTGTTCAGGGCTGGTCCCATCACAGGAGAATGGAGGATAGATACTACAATGCCATTTTTAGTCTCAAAAGGAGTCAATCTGACTGAGTTTTGCCGAGTTACTCAACAGGAGAACACTATTTGCCAGAGGGCTTATAAATTCCTCAGCTCATAAAAATGCTTGGCCAGCTATTGCACCCACCACACGGCTGGAGAGGACATCTTATGGCGAAACTGCCCCCAGCATAAGTCAATAGTTAACCAGGGTGAGGCCCTGATCCTGAAACAGAAGGCAAAGAGGATGCACGCGGTGGCGGGCAGGGGTGCGGGGTCGGTGGCCGAGCCCCGTCTGAGAGCAGGACTGCAGCCAAGGCGGGATGTGATGCCTGGATGTGCCACCGGGGAAGCTGGGCCATGGGGCCGGTGCAAAGGGTGCAGGTGGGTTTCGGTGCCTGCCGCAGGTACATCGCTGCCCGCTGCCGGAGGAGCATCACCCATCTGTGGCTGCTACTGATTTGGTCTCTTGTTCTTTTATCTGTCATTGGCGACCGCTTGTCCAGGTCTCTGTACACGTCACCGAGCCCAAAGCTAAGTCGCTATGAACTCACCTCTCCGGTGAGGTTTCCCCAAGCAGTGAATCAAGGGCTGTGACAGTGGTGAGAGATGGAGGGGAGCGATCGCATCCCTCCCGGCGTGGGAATGGTGGCCGGGCGCTCCGCGGGCATCCCCGTGCTGTGGATTGCAGGTTGTACCAGAGTGGCCCATGCCAAAACCCCAGGGCATGAGGAGGGACACACGTGTCGGTGCTCAGGGCTGGCAGCAAGGTGTTTGCTGGGAAGAGGCGCTGCTCGGGGCTGAACGCACGGGGTAAGTGTGGGCCACATGGCTGTCCCTCCACCGGGCAGCCAGGGCAAAGGGCTCTGGATTTTAGTAATTGCACATATGGGAGGACCTGAAATGCAGTTTTGGCAGCTAGCAAAGCCCTGGGTGCCAGCACCCCGAGAGCACCTGGTTGGTGCCTGGGAGGTGTCCCAGCA